TATATATATATATACATATACATATACATACATATATACATACATACACACACACACTCACTCTCTCTCTCACTCTCCCACACCCCCCCTCTCCCTCCCCCATCAAGGTTTGCACCTATTGTGAATAATGAATGGGAAATAAGTATGTCCTCCCTGCAACACTATTGTTGTACTATAGTGCTAGGAGTACCCGGTCATCGCCTGGTGGATACCTGTCAAACTATTATGAATATTTATCAGTTTGCTGTGTTGGGAGCATGTACTTTTTCCCGTTTGAGATACGCATTATTATACTAACTGATGATAGATCTCAGCCAGTGAATACTGTCTAAACATAATATGAGCAGAATGCTGATGCAAAAGTTTGTTATGTAAGGACAGGATTGGCTGACAGATTTCAGACATCTCTTTGTTGAAGATAATGTCATACAGAGTTATTCACCAACATGTGAGTTGCCTTAAATTCTATTTAAATATTTTGACCAAAATAGCGGAATTTACAAAAAAAAAATGCTCCTCTTCGATTCGCTACAAATCCCACCTTACTCTATAATCATGTAAGAAGGTGCAACACATGACTGTTGAAAACTAGACATAAAAGAATTGCCATTATACATGAAAAACCATCTCCCATGGAGTTCCATTTTATAGGAAAATTTTCATTTTTTTCTCTCTAATAAGTAACATGCTTTGTTTTAATGCATACACATATTAACATATCTTTTTATTTTTATTTGACACCAAGTGCAATTGATCCTTTGTCAGAGGCAGCTTTTACCCAAGTAAGGAGGACTCTGCATTGTGAAGTCTTGATGTGCATTTAATATACAATGAAGTCTGTAATCCCCATGTGCAGATTGCGCAGTGTAAGTCGACTCCAACCTCACACAGTGCAAAACACCACATACCCAGGTGCTCTGTGCTAACCAAGATTACAATGATTTAACACCAATAAGCTTCTACTTAGACCTACAAATATATTGTCTTATGTCTCCTTGAAGAAAGTACAAGACAGATGTAGATGCAACTGACGTGCCCTCAAATGATCTGCACTGCATCTACAAGTTCAAGCATGTGGGTGCAAGCATTGAAGGATGTCTTGCAGTTAGTTGCCTGTGAAGTTCAAGGGCCATGACTAACATTTACGTTTTGTTTTTGTTTTTTGAAAGTGCATTTGTGCACATCTATGTATATAAGGAGGAAGACAGAGGAACTTTCTCCTAAGTTTTTCTGTTATAAATCTGGCAGCCTGTCAGGTGGTATGCTGCAGCTTTTGAAGAACTCTTTGCAGTGTGTTTGGGATGGGCAGATTTCTAAACTCTATACCAAACAGGCGATGCCCAAATATCGATTGACAGAAATTTTAGTAGTATATCCTGTAATAATAAGGTGCTGATTGAAAACATCACTGAGGATCCTACCATGCACTGGGAATCCATGGCACATTTGTCAGGGCTGAAATGCCACTTGTAGGTGTCTAGTGGGTAAGAAGACATTTTAAACCCTGGAACCATTATACAGATTAACTTTTAACTAATAAACTTGATTGCAAAGATAGCATATAAGGAAACTTAAAGTGGCACTGTTCCGCCCCACCCCCTACAATTCCAATCCAGCCAAAAGATATACTGAGACAAAGTAGGGACACTTCTTGACACTGGGTGGAGCTACTGGGCGGCGCGCAGCTACCTCCGGGCGCTTAGCAAAAGAGGACCAGCTAAAAGATTTCACTAAAAGTAAGTACAAACATTCTTTACAAATATATACATACAGTGAGGTAAAACATAATGTGATCCCCTGCTGATTTTGCACGTTTGCCCACTGACAAAGTAATAATCTGTGTATATTTTTAATGGCAGGTGTATTTTAACAGAAAATTCTGTGAGAGACAGAATTACAAGACAAAAATCCAGAAAAACGCATGTCAAAAAAGTTATAAATTGATTTGCATGTCAATGAGTGAAATAAGTATTTGACCCCTTCGACTTAGTACTTGGTGACAAAACCCTTGTTGGCAATCACAGAGGTCAAAGGTTTCTTGTAGTTGGCCACCAGGTTTGCACACATCTCAGGAGGGATTCTGTCCCACTCCTCTTTGCAGATCCTCTCCAAGTCGTTAAGGTTTCGAGGCAGACGTTTGGCAACTCAAACTTTCAGCTCCCTCCACAGATTTTCTATGGGATTAAGGTCTGGAGACTGGCTAGGCCACTCCAGGACTTTGTTAAAAACCAAGATATAGTATATAAACACCGTGGGGAAGTATAATAAGAAGGGTGGTATAGCACAAAATAATATATAGAGCATACAACCTGAAAAGAACAGGAAGGGATATGGTAGTATCTCCATGAGCTTTATGTGCTTCTTCTTGAGCCACTCCTTTGTTGCCTTGGCTGTGTGATTTGGGTCATTGTCATGCTGGAATACCCACCCACGACCCATTTTCAATACCCTGGCTGAGGAAAGGAGGTTCTCACCCAAGATTTGATGGTACATGGCCCTGTCCATCATCCCTTTGATGTGGTGCAGTTGTCCTGTCCCCTTAGCAGAAAAACATCCCCAAAAGCATAATGTTTCCACCTCCTTGTTTGAAGGTGGGGATGTTGTTCTTGGGGTCATAGGCAGCATTCCTCTTCCTCCAATCACGGCAAGTTGAGGCCAAAGAGCTTGATTTTGGTCTCATCTGACCACAACACTTTCACCCAGTTCTCCTCTGAATCATTCAGATGTGCATTGGCAAACTTCAGACGGGCCTGTACATGTGCTTTCTTGAGCAGGAGGACCTTGCGGGCGCTGCAGGATTTGAGGCCTTCACGGCATAATGTTTGACCAATTGTTTTCTTGGTGACTATGGTCCCAGCTGCCTTGAGATCCTTAACAAGATCCTCCAGTGTAGTTCTGAGCTGATTCTTATGATCACTGAAACTCCACGAGGTGAGATCTTGCATAGAGCACCAGACCGAGGGAGACGAACAGTTATTTTGTTTTTCTTTCATTTGCAAATAATCACACCAACTGTTGTCACCTTCTTACTAAGCTCCTTGGCGATGGTCTTGTAGCCCATTCCAGCCTTGTGTAGGTCTACAGTCTTGTCCCTGACATCCTTGGACAGCTCTTTGGTCTTGGCTAGACAGAGTTTGGAATCTGATTGATTGCTTCTGGGGACAGGTGTATTTTATACAGGTAACGAGCACTTTAAGAGAGTGCTCCTAATCTCAGCTCATTACCTGTATAAAAGACATCTGGGAGCCAGAAATCTTGCTGATTGATAGATAATCAAATACTTATTTAACTCATTGACATGCAAATCAATTTATAACTTTGACATGCACTTTTCTGGATTTTTTTGTTTTGTTATTCTGTCTCTCACTGTTAAAATACACCTACCATTAAAATTATAGACTGATCATTTCTTTGTCAGTGGGCAAACGTTCAAAATCAGCAGGGGATCAAATACTTTTCCCCCTCACTGTATAAACAAACATATGTTAAACAGTTTCACAAATCGTGTTTAACCCCTTAACGCTGTTACGGCGTTCTATGCCGTCCCGCATTAAAAGGGCTTTAAAGCCGTTGCGTCGGCATAGAACGCCGTAACGGCTTTGAGCCCTGGAGCCTCAGAAATACTTACCTTCCCGGCGCTCCGCTTCGGGAGGACTGCCTGACAGCCCAGCCAGCCCTCCCTGGCAAAAGAAGCCCCCGGGGGCCATGTGATCGCTCAGTTCCCCTGAGAAAAATGTTCAAAGGGCACTTACATTAATCCAAAAAACGCTCCCGGCGCACCCCCCGTCTGATGTCACATCGAAAACATCTCATATTGAACTTTTAATTGGACCAATTTTTTCCTGGCTCAAGGTGCATGCGAGGGCTCTGAGCCGGCGAAGGAAGGGGATTTGTAAAAAAAAAAAAAAAAATTGGCGATGGTATTGGGAGAACGGAGGTATCATTGCATATTTTAACTCTCAATATTTCAAGGACAATTTAAAATTTATTTTAGTACTGGAGGGGGTAAAATTAGTTTCACAGGTATGTCACTTACTTGTTGCCAGAAAGTGTCCAACTCCGATAACCAAAGAGCCAACAGATCCAAAAAGTATGGATTCTCGGACACATGGTGTGTTTCGAACATCAAGAATTCCCAATAATTTAAAGGACTAGGAAGAAAAGATTAGGACTTGTTATTAAATGGAGGAAGAATAGCAGGGCTATTCACTAAACTCTGATTTGTAGCAAATCAATTCCTTGCAAAAATGGAAACTAAAATAGTGAAACTGTGATTATAGTTAAATTGAAAGATAATTTCAGACCAGCTATTTTTGCCTACATTTAGCCATTTGGATTTTAATTTACAATACAATTTATTGTTTAGTAGTCTCTAAAAGACCCCTACCTACTGCAATCCTTATGTTTAATCTTCATAATTGATAAATATCTTAATGTTTTTCAGTTTATATAGGAAAATAAAGCCTATGCCCTCTAAAAAGGGTTGTCTAAGCACCAGGTACAATACAGTGTAATAGTTATGATTCCATTAGGCAGCAGATGCCTCTCCCTGTTTCTGGATCAAAACATTTCCAGTTTAACCAAAGCTCAAAGCACCTGGGACCCAGCCTCCAGGTGCTGATATTGCAAAAGTGAAATCTCTATTTCAGCATTAGCAGCATTGATTTCAGCCATATTTGGATGACAATGCCGATAAACTCTTACAATCAATGCATCAGCTGAGTGCAATTTTTATTCCGCATGGGAATTTCAAAGATATGCTAGTATGCTTGATCCAGACTTAAAGGGAATCTATAGTGCCAGGAAAACAAAGCCATTCCCTCGTGCCTCTGCTCCCTTACCTGAAGCCTGCACCAATGTCCCTCGGGACTGGGTCAGGCTCCACCCATGCTCCTCCACTGCCAAAGGTGGCAGGGGAGACCTAATCCGCATGTGCGGCAATGGCCGCACTCACGTTAGGATTTTCCCCAAAGAAAAGCATTAATCAATGCTTTCCAATTGGGAAAAATGACGCTGAAGGTCCTGATGCAGAGCGTGAGGACGTCCAGCGTCAGATACTGGACTAAAGGTCTGTTTCGATTCAGGAAGCCTTCTAGTGGCTGTCTGGTAGACTTAGAGCTGCAATGTCAACAAAGTTCAAAAGGGACACAGCACCCAGACCACTTCAATGAGCTGAAGTGGTCTGGGTGCCTACAGTGTCCCTTTAACATTATTTCATGGATGAATAAATTCTCCCAGTGCTGCGAAGAATTCATGGGAGCTCTGTAGAGATCCAAACAGTTCTCATAGAGAAAGAAGCCTTTGATTGGACCATTTGCACTCTGAGCTGGGAAAGGGGAAAGGGAGGGGGGGGGAATTGTGCATTGGATAGAGATCCAATGCACCATCTCCTTTGAGCAAGTGAGTGTGGTGGTGCAGGGCTTATCTCTGGCTCTGAGTGGACCGGAGAAGGGCGGTAGTTGTTATGGTGCCAGGATTTCCCTCCTGCAGAAGAAGCCAGATGCCTTCATATGGCATAAAGCATGACCGATCCATGACGCTCTCATCCAATGAGTGCAATCCTGCACAGACCTATCTAGCTCAGAGGAGCTAATCGGATTCTCCTTCAAGGAGAATTAAGATGTCACAGCTGGCAGCCAGTGAGCTGTGCAACTGTATTTAAAAATGAAATTACAGTGGTAGAGCAGCACTATAGAGGGCTGTATTGGTTATGGTTCTTGGAATGTCCCTTTAACACACAGGTGACATATACTGTATGCAATGTTTTATTTATGGTGCAGTCTGATTGAACATATGATGGGCATTCTATCACTCTGGGCATTATTCACTGCCTGCCTGTGTGCCATTCAGCACAGTCACAGAGCACACACTTTATACAATAACAGATTAGAACATTCGGATGTAGAACTTGCACAAACCGTACCGCAGCTTGCCCTGACTGTGCACAATCTAAATCAGGTGAAGTGATGCGAATCATTGTACTTCAACCGACCCCTAATGGATTACCTTCTCCTTCGCTAACTCACTTCCCTCATCCGCCATTTTGGTTGCAGACACCTATTTCAACCTTCACTAGACCTGCCCACCATAAGCGAACGACAACGTCAATGGAGGCCAGAGCGTCTCCAGGCTGATCGAGCGACGCTCTCTGAGGAGGCTCTCGCTGGTTGGCGGAAGTGACGTCAATCGTCGCCATGTTAGGGGTTTGTTGTAGGCTGGAGTCAGCGGGCGTGTGCTCTGCTAAAATGGGGGAAAATACCGCCATGGGACTGCTGAGCGCGTGTGTGGGGAGAGACGGTTTATAATCATAAATCCATGGCGGCTTTATTTTGTCATTGCTGTGTGACTATAGTAACACTCTAAACATGTCCTATGTCTTACAATCAATGTGCTACATGGAACAGTAACCACATTCACAGCCCAACACTGCTGCTATAATAAGGCTGCGCACTCCTTAGTGACCGGGTATACGGCATTCCCTGACTGAAACCATCTTGGCACGTTTCTTAGGTGTCTGTTCCGCTATAATACAACGCCTTATTTAGTGCTCTCATTATATATATCTCTCATTATTTTGGCCCTTATACGTAAATCTGTTTTACTACTAGTTAATATGAATAAAATGGGCAAAACATGAGGTAATTTATGTACAGATTCTCATAATGGGACACTAAGCATCAGAACCGCTACATCTTTATTGTAGTTGTTTTGGTGCAAAGATAATACGTTTTTGCTCTTACAATTTAAAATTAAACTACCATGGTTACAGGTTTCTTTGGCAGCCAGACAGGCACAAGAGCTGCTTCCTTTTCAAAACTTGATTTTTAAAGGTCTTCACATTATGCCTTGTCACACTCAGCATGAAAATGCTGAATGCATCTAATGCTGCCATCTCATAGGTGGCTGGGAGAGTTTTTGAAGGGTTATTAAAGGATGATAGTCAGAAATCTATTGTGAAGAGCATTGTTATTAGCAATAACCAGCATGGTATTAAGTAAGCAGAAGTACAGATCAGGGTGTTGCAGTAGATGTTGTCTACTTGGATTTTGCCAAGGCGTTTAATTTTCATCTTCACAATAGGTTACTTTTTAAACTAAAAGAAATTGGTCTAGATCATGGGTCGTCAACCTGGTCCCTACCGCCCACTAGTGGGCGTTTTAGGATTCCAGGTGGGCGGTAGGGATTTCGGAGGCTAAATCCTCTTTTTAAGAGGATTTCTCCTTTTGGGCGGGCGCGAGCGGATCTGCGTGCGCAAGTCTTCAGTGACCGATAGGAGGAAGTGCTCCCTCCTGACAGGCCACCTTCTGGACCCCCCCCCCAGCATGGCAGAGTTCTAATCAGACGTGGCGAGGGAGCTCTAACCTCTCTGCTCTGCTCCCTTGCGCGATGTTTGCTGATGCCGCGGGAGCCGGAATATGACGTCATCTTCCGGCTCCCGGCATCAGTAGACAGTCTGCGAGGGAGCAGAGCAGAGAGGTTAGAGCACCCTCGCCGCGTCTGATTAGCCGCCCGCCGAAGTGAAGCCCCACTGGACCCCAGGGACAGATCCACACCAGCTCTCCAGGTAGGGAGGCTGGGTTGACATTTAATATTAATAATTTGTGTGTATATGTGTTTGTTTGTCTGTAAGTGTATGTGTGTGTGTGTCTGTAAGTGTATGTGTGTCTGTGTCTGTAAGTATATGTGTGTGTGTGTGTGTATGTGTGAGTGTCTGTAAGTGCATGTGTGAGTATGTGTATATTTGTGTGTATGTGTATGTGTGAGTGTTTGTGAGTGTGTGTGAAATGGAAAAATCAATTAAAGTATTGATTATTTCTTTGTGTATCTGCCCCTGGCCAAATCAATGAAACAATGCGTGCACGCTCCCTGAAGTAATTCACACCAGACACAGGTTCTAGGTTGTTGAATAACTTGAGGAAAGTTTATTCAGAGGGGACGGCAAGTCCCTTTTAAAGCAAAATTACATCATATGCATTGTCAGAGATAACATGGAATAATACATCAATAATTGGTTAGGTGTTAAGTGGTTGCTCTAATGCTCTGCCTACTGCAGGTGATGTCACCGGGACCATGAGGGTCTCCCACGGTTTTCCGGCGCCATCTTGTTACACGAGGTAGTTAGTCGATGTTTAAAAAGGGAGGGGAAGGAGGGGTTAGAAGCTTCTAGCAGCCATCTTGATTGAAATATGTGTACTTAGCTTTATATGTGATATATATATATATTGTAAAATGAGTAAATAGACATTTTCCTTTAACCAGGAAATATGTGTAGACCTTATTTCCACAACAGTCCCCCCTAAAATGGCTATTTACCATTACAACTGCTGCTGTCCCTAATATGTCCCTAGTTGCCCGCAACCTATCTGCCTTGACAAGCATCGAACACTTCACTCCGCGGGTATCCCGCAGTGGCTAACCCACTACATCTCCACACGTGAGACTCACCTGTCAAGACAGACGCTTTCCCTACTCTATCCCTACAAAAAAGCAGTTGTCTGTTTAAACTGATGTGTTTGTAGGGGTGTATGTGGGGTGTCATCTTCAAGGTCTGTGATATCCTGATGTATGAAGGTAGGGGTCACATTATCTACAGTCTTATCTACCGCTTTCTGCAGATATTTCTGTATACAGGGGAGTATACAACAGGCTAGGAACAAAAAGATAATGAATACCATGAGAACAGCTGTCCCTACCTGAAAGAGGGTCTTTTGCCAGCCATTCATCCACCCAAACCATTTGTCCCATATGTCAGTGGCTCCCGAATTCTTCTTTAATTCGTCTGCAAGACTATCTAGCTTTTCTATGGCCAAAGTCACTTTACCATTGGGCCCCGTGTTGTCTGGAATGTATGTGCAGCATGTCATGGTCTCTGGGAGGATTTTACATACTCCCCCTTTTTCGGCTAGAATCATATCTAGGGCCATTCTGTTCTGAAATGTCATTTGGGTAGTGGCTTGTAGTTGCTCTGCCAGGCCCTGTAGGGCATCCCTTGTGTAGTTGACAAAGCGTTGCTGATTATAATAGATATAGTTAATCCAATTGACATTCTTGTTAGCAGTTATCATTGGGATTAGGGACTCAAACCCTGCAGCCACTTCATCTCTTGCTTTAAATTCGTTAGGCACCCCCCTTGGCACACCTATGGCATCAATATACACATGGGGGTCGAAACTCCCTCGAATAGGGGTCTCTCGTTTGGTTCTAGAGTGTATATGTGTGAGGTTAAGCGTGTTATGGTCACCATCTGGAATGATGTGGATAGGCATTATGACTTTGGTTAGGGCACACTCCCCCCACCATTGGCCAGCTAATTGGGGCCTTAATTGTTTGTCACCACATAACCAATAGATATCACCGATTGTCTTTGTGTGATTCATTAGCAGTGATACAGGTGGACTATGGTAAGTTGAGCAGTATCCTGATGGGAATTTGCCCAGATACAAACCAGTGTTTTCTGGTATTGAATAGCATGTGTAATTACCTGGGTAGATGGTGACTCCATCGGGTGGTTTCACATGTCCGTGAGTGATTGGGTAAATCTTCTTCCAGGATTCACATATTGAGGAGTTAGTGGTGGATTGTGCATATAAACTCAGTACACATAATTCTATTTCCGGAGGTAAACTCAGAGGTACTGTACCCAGATGGGGTCTGGCACCTCCGCATACATAACAATTAGTCTTATTGTGTGAGTTGGCGTTGTACCTCATCCATTCTAGCCATAAATTGGTATCTGAAAACCCTGTTTCTACTGCCATGGTATCTTCAAAGGTGGGGTTGGCTATGGCTACCATGTCATGTAGGGTTTTGATGTGTGGTTTCAATGGGTTAATGATCATATGTGTGGTTCCCACCCAATCAGAGGAATTTAGCATATCTTGTAAGTAAAAGGTCCCTAATGCGTTATGTGAGCCACCTCCCTTCCAGTACATTCCCATCACATACTCCCCTGCATCCCTCGGACTAGGGTGTTCTATGTTTAAGGTGAGTTTAATGGGAGTTGACCCTATGGGTTTACTCAGGGTCATTCTAGAGAGCAAGGGTTTCCCGTCTTTGTCAAGCTTGTCTAATGCAACTTGGGGTCTGTAGCCCCATGGTCTACCTGTGTTCCACCCGGCAGCTTTCCATGAACTACAATGGTGTCCCCAACCTTCGCCAGTCACACAAATGTATGGATCCTTTTTGTTAGGTATGTCCTTATATACAGCTGCATGTTGTGTTTGTTGAAATGTACAAGTAACTATGTCACAATAGTCAAAGGTGTATGTAGCCACATCAGTATTAGAAGAATTGTACCAAAAAGTGTAAACATGGTTATCTTTGGTTATGGCCACTTGTTGGGCCCATGCAAAATGTAGCAACATAAGAAAACACAAGACACATAATAAATTCATTTTTCAACAGGATCAGACTCTTCTGGAGCAGGCACTTTTTTGCAATGTGAAGCGTGTATCCAAGAACTCTTCCCAGCTAGTTTAACTGACGTTGCTGTAATCAGGAGCACTTGGTAAGGACCATCAAATCTCGGTTCCAGGGTGTGTTTTCTGAGAAACTTCTTAACCATAACCCAGTCACCTGGAAGCAGCTTGTGTGTACCTGTGTTCGACTCAGGATCTGGAATAGAAGAAAACACTTGTGCATGTATCTTGGTCAAGGCATGTGAGAGGGCTGTCACATAATCTACCATAGCATCTGACTGGATCTGAAGTTGTTGGGGAAAGTAACAACCTAACCTAGGTGCTGTGCCAAACAAAATTTCATAAGGTGACAGGCTGTATTTTCCCCTAGGAGTGTACCTTACACTAAACAATGCTAATGGGAGACTCTCGGGCCAAGGCATGTTAGTTTCTTGTGACATTTTAAGCATTCTGGCTTTCAGAGTGCCGTTCATGCGCTCTACCTTACCACTACTCTGTGGGTGATATGGAGTGTGGAATGCAAGGGTCACCCCCAGTGCTGACCAGACTTCCCGTGTTAGCGAGGCAGTGAAGGAGGTTCCTTGGTCACTCTCAATTACTTCTGGAACCCCGTAACGGCAAACA